ACAGGCAAACCACAGAACAAACTGAGGGTTGCTGGAAGGGAGGTGGGCAGGGGGATGGGTTAAATGGATGATGGGTATTAAGGAGGGCACTTGTAATGAGCACTGGGTATTATATATAAGTGATGAATCACTAAAATCTACTCCTGAAACTAATATTACACTACATGTTAACTGAATTTAGATAAAAACTTGAAAATTAAAAAAAGAAACTTAAATCCACTCTTTATACGGTATCAGACAATAATTTATAGTTTGAAATACTCAATTATAGAATACCTATAAACTACAGGGCACCTAGCTGGCTCAGTCAGCAGAACATGCAGCTCTTGATCTCAGGGTTGTGAGTTCAAGCCCCATGCTGGGTGTGGAGCCTACAGAAAAGAGAAGAGAAGAGAAGAGCGCCTGGGTGGCTCAGCCAATCGTCTGCCTTCAGCTCAGGTCATGATCTCAGGGTCCTGGAATCAGGTTCTGCATCAGGCTCCCTGCTTGGCGGGAAACCTGCTTCTCCCTCTCCCTGCCTCTCTCCCTGCCTGTGTTCTCTCACTCAAATAAATAAGTAAAATCTTTAAAAAAGAAAAGAAAGAAAAGGAAAAAAAAGAAAATCTATACATTACAGAAATAAATAGAAATCAATATTATGTAAAAATGAAAAACTTCTAAACATTCAAGAGCAAAAAATTAAAATAAAAAGGCAATGAGCCTAATGGTATTAAATATAGATGGGGAGGGGCGCCTGGGTGGCTCAGTTGGTTAAGCGACTGCCTTCGGCTCAGGTCATGATCCTGGAGTCCCGGGATCGAGTCCCGCATCGGGCTCCCTGCTCAGTGGGGAGTCTGCTTCTCCCTCTGACCCTCCCCCATCTCATGCTCTCTCTCTCTCTCTCATTCTATCAAATAAATAAATAAATAAAATCTTTAAATATAGATGGGAATGTAGGGCCAATGAAACTATCATTCACTGCTGGTGGAAGCATAAACAGCATAAATTAAGTTGAATATACACACACTCTATGAACCAGCAATTCCACTCCTAATAATACACTAAGCAGAAATGCATATATGTGTGTGTGTATATATATATATATATATATATATATATATATGCACCAAAAGATATGCACAACATGCATAACAGCAACTTTCAGTTTAGCCCAAAAGGGGAAAAAAATCAAAATATCCATTAGCTGAATATATACTTTGTGGTAGGTCATACAACAGAATTCAACAGAGCAAATAAAATGAAACTCCTCCATCATGACATGGATGAATCTCAGAAACATTTAGTCATAAGGACGAGACACTAAATAGGACATACATAATGCCATTTATATAGTTCAAAAATAGGCAAACTCATTTGTGATATATCTCTGGGGAAGAAGGGAATGATACCGTCATGCCACTGAGAGTGAAAATCCAGAGTCACCCATGATGCTGGTGCAGGTTTCTATATATATACGTATTTTTCCCCTGTATATAGGTTGTATTAGTTACTAAGGCTGTCACACAAAATACCACAGACTTAGCAACTTTAGCAACAAATTTATTTTCTCACAATTCTGGAGACTAAAACTCCAAGATCAAGGAGTCAACAGAGTTGGTTTCTTTGTGAGACCTCTCTCCTTGGCTTGTTGGTGGCCCTCTTCTCCCTGTGTCTTTACATGGTCTTCTCTGTACATTTCTGTGTCCTAACCGTTCTCATAAGGACATCAGTCATAATGGATTAGGGTCCACCCTAATGACCGCATTTTAACTCAGTTACCTCTTTAAAGACCCTGTCCCCAAATACAGTCACATTCTGAGGTACTGGTGGTTAGAACTTGAACATATCCTTGAGAGGACACAATTCAGCTTAGAACATGCAATATACTTCATTCAGAGGGGAGGGAGGTGGAGGGATGGGTGAACCCGGTGATGGGTATTAAGGAGGGCACAAATTGCATGGAGCACTGGGTGTTATATGCAAACTATGAATCATGGAACACTACATCAAAAACTAATGATGTACTGTATGGTGATTAACATAACATAAAAAAAAACATGCAATATACTTCAATAAAAATTAAGAAAAGACAATGAAATTAAAGCAGATATTTCAACTGAAAATGGATTAGAGCTTCCTATTCAAAATATGGAAAGAACTGACATACATTTATAAAGTTAATACTCTGACTCCACTTGACAAGTGATCTTGAAAAGACAGAAGATGCAAATATTAAGACAAGACAAACTAAAAGGTCAATAAGAAACTGAAATAAACACTGATCTCAGGTGCCAAGTTTCACACATTAAATAAAAGTAAATACAAACGACAAAGGAATTGGGAAACTGGTACATCAGATGGGGGCATTACAAAATTAATCTAATCTTTCTGGCAAGTAATCAGTCAAAATGTTATAGGAGATATAAAAATGTTTTTAACCCTTGTCTCTATACTTCCAAAAAAGGAAAATATCCCAAGAATGTAAAATCTTTGAAAAAATAAGAGGTTTTTTTGAATAAAATAGAAACAACTCCAATAGAAACAACTCCAGTGCTCTGAGAATAGACTACAAATATAAAAAACCATTTTTAAAATATATAAACTATGTAAACATAATGAAATGTTTATGTAAAATAAGATTATTTAAAAATATTATTTAGTGACAAGGGTCAGATGTGGATATAGATGTACCTATGTGTTTGTGAATCTCCTCACCTCACTCCTTTGGTCAAAATTCTTGAAGGTTTGCTCACCGCATAGGGATTTACAAGGCCCTTCACCCTCTGGTTGCTGCTATATTCCTAGCCTCATTTCTCCCCACTCCAATTTTATCACTGTACCCTTCACCCTTACCACAGTTCTTACAGTTTCCAAATTTTGGCATCGTTTTTCTCATGCTTCCTGCGCAAAATGCCTCCCCATCCACCTTCTTCTAGTAATAAATTCCAACCAACTCTCCCTTCCAGACCTAATTCAACCAGAGCTGTGACTTTTTATGTACCTCTAATAACTGACTGCAATCCTTTATTATACCACTTCCTCTAGAGTAATCACTAATTTAAATGCCACTTCCCCCCACTAAACTGTGAGCTCTTTGAGGGCAGAGATTATTGTTCATATTTGTGTCCTTAGAGTCTAGAATTGTAATAAAAGCTTGCTAAATGAAATAAATGAATGATAAACAGTAAATTAAGAGTCTCAAGAACATGGACTTTTTTCTTGTAAAGTTCCCTAGATAAGGAATTTTAATGTAAATCACTTTAAATAAATATGGGTTTTTAAACAAAAATATTTTCTCCCTCTTCAGGATAATTTTTCTTCAAATTAGGCAGCAGCTTCTTAATAACTATGGTAACATGTCATCAGACAATCACGGAGCAAAAATGTGTTACTGCCAGCATTCAGTCACAGCTGTCCTTTATTTTTTTTTTAATTTTTTGTTATGTTAATCACCATACATTACATTAGTTTTTGATGTAGTGTTCCACGATTCATTGTTTGTGCGTAACACCCAGTGCTCCATGCAGAACGTGCCCTCTTTAGTACCCATCACCAGGCTAACCCAACCCCCCACTCTCCTCCCCTCTAGAACCCTCAGTTTGTTTTTCAGAGTCCATCGTCTCTCATGGGTCATCTCCCCCTCCGATTTCCCCCCCTTCATTCTTCCCCTCCTGCTATCTTCTTCAATGATATTCTAACATCTCCTCTCAGGATAGTTTATTAACAGATTTAACCTAGTCCTTCAGCTTTAGATAAAAAATATAAGCCAGGAGGCCTGATATAAGATCAGTAAAGGAAGAATTTGTTCCTTTCTCTTTGTTATCTGAGATGTGGACACAACTATGATTTACCTGCAGACACCTTACCATATTTTGGAAGGAAGAAAGGACTCCCTGCATGGGGGGAAAAAAAAGAGGAAAAAATAAAAATCAGAAGGCTAAGTAGGGGCTTCTGAGACTTTCAAGAAATAAACCCTTTTCAAGTCAGCATCCTTTAATACTAGCAATAGCTGCTGAGCGAAGGGGAAGTCCACCCTGTAAGAAATTCAAACAGGCCTGGGGATTTCATTTTGAAAGAAACTTCCCCTTTCACAAGTAAAAGGAAGACTTATCTTTACTGTGACAGAGTCTGTAAAACTGTACATAATTAAACAGACCACACTAATTCCACAACCAAAAAGGACGAAATGGGGAAGTCCGGGAGCACACATGAAAACATAATCCTGTCTCTGCAAGGCTCTTGAGGGTTACATCAACATTTGGTTTCTTGGGGAATAGGAACTGTTGGAAGCAAAACAGGTTAAAACCATGTCCAAAGGGAAAATGAGAATTTATTGTGGATTCCAAAGTGCTGATAATCCTTGGCGCCTTTCCCAGGACTGTGAGAAATGCCTGCAATATCCTCTCGCTGGGTTTCTCTTTCTCCTAAAAGCCCTATCTGGCCATAAATGACACTTCGATGGGATTTTCTCCATCCTGCCCAGACAGGAAAATGTTTTTTCTCGGAGCTTTCAAGACAACTTCCAAAAGGCGGCCTGAGAAACAAGTGACTGCACCGCTGGGGGGCGGGGAGCGGCCCCAGCCTTCGTCTATTTCTACAGGTCACGCCAGCCCGCGCACGCTTCGTATAGAATAGTCCCGGCCACTCAGCCGCGCCCCCAGACGAGCCCTCCCATTCAGCTTGTTAGCAGAGGAAAGTAGCCCCTTCTGTGTAATAAACAAGATGGGCCTTCCGTGGCTCCTAACTGACCCCAGCACCTCTTTTCTCTTGCCCAAAAGGCCTTCTCCCAGTCACCACAAACTGCGGTGGAAGGACCCTCCGAAGCCTCGCCCGGCAGCCCCAGACCCGGTAACCAAGCGCTTCCGGCGTCAACCCAAGCCTCGTGTGGAAACTGCAAAACAGGCCCCGCTCCCGGCGTCGTTCCCCCTCCCTCCCACCCCCAAGAAACGCAGCCTCTGGGGGCAGCAGGCTGTGGGCCAGACGGGGCAGAGAGGCGAGATCCCGAGGGGCACAGCCACTACCTTTCTCCCAATGTGTTCCTCTGGCCGAATCAGCACGAACAGCAGGAGAACCCAGAAGCGGCACCAGCGGCGCGAGCGGTGCCTATAGCCTCCCCACTGAAAGTTCTAGAAGCGGGCTAGCTGGGCATGCGCAGTGCGCGCATCTCAGCCCCCAGGGAGGTCAGCTGGTCCACCCCCCAGGTAGCGCTACGCACGCGCAGTGTCGAGCCGAGAGCCTCGGTTCCCTCGCGCTTTCCCTCAGTCCTGTGCGCTTGCGTGGATCCTCGAAAGCCTTCCCTGTTCTTGTGGTGGAAGGAGATTGCACCATAGGATTGCAGGCAAAGGTAACGTTGCCTTCGATGTCAGCTCGTGGTGCTGCGAGAGCAGATGTGGGATCCTGACCGAGTCTGGGAGTCAGGAAAGTCTTCCCAGGGGAAATGCCAACCTGGATAGTAAGGTGGTTAGGATTACTAGTAGGGTAAGAAGGCAGAGCAGGCACAGCATTCCAGGCAGGGAAGCGCGTGAGCAAAAACTGCGGTGGGAAGGAGGCATGTGTCCCTTTGAGGAACAGAGGGAAGAAAGGGTGTTGGACCAGAGTTATGCAGGAAGAGCTTGGAAAGGTGGGCAAAGGCAGGCCGTGCTGGACCTTAGTATTTATACTAAGAAAATTCCATCTCCCTTTCTTTGCCAGAAAGAATGATCTCAAGCTTTGTGGTACTTTGCAGTTGACTATGAATTGCTGCCTTTAATTTTAACAACCTGTGGGGACAGTAATAGTTTTATCAGCAGAGGGAACTGAGGCTTGCAGAAGTATTTTGCACAGTCGTTAAGTAGCAAAGCTGGGACCTAAACCCAGCTCCACCCTATGCATGGCTGCAGTCATTACCAGAATTAAGCATAACCAAGCGAACAAGCTGTATCAAAGGTCACAACAGTTTTCTTTGAAGAGTATTCTGCATCGGCCCAAAAATGTGCACCATGTTACAGAAAATGCTATTATGTTCCCCATTATCCTATAGCATTATCCTATATGCATTCTCAGTGGGGTGAGGAAGGAGATTTCTCTCAGGGGACAAAAACTGGTCCTTGGAGAGACTAAAAAATCTTAGATAATACACTGATTAGTGGCCTACTGAAGTTTAATCCTACAAAATCTTATTTGTTAATATTTAATCGTTCTCTTTAGGGAGAAATTTAATTTAATTTAGAATTCAATTTAATCTCATGGGAGTCAGTAACCAAAAAAAAAAACGTTAAGAAATGTTGTCCTGACTGGGAAGGGAATGTGCTATGGCAAGTGCTGTGAATTGTGTGAGACTGATGAATCACAGACCTGTACTCCTGAAACAAGTAATACATTATATGTTAATTTAAAAAAATACATTTGCTGAAGGAAAAAAAGAAATGTTGTCTTGAGCTCAAGTGTCCATCAATTGATGAATAAAGAAAATGAGCTATATGTATACTATGGAATATTATTTGGCCATAAAAAAGAATGAAATGGGGGCTCCTGGGTGGCTCAGTCGGTTGAGCGACTGCCTTCGGCTCAGGTCATGATCCCGGAGTCCCGGGATCGAGTCCCGCATCGGGCTCCCTGCTCAGCGGGGAGTCCGCTTCTCCCTCTGACCCTCCCCCCTCTCATGTGCTCTCTCTCTCATTCTCTCTGTCAAATAATAAATGAAATCTTAAAAAAAAAAAAAATGAAATGTTGCCATTTGCAACAACATGGATGGAACTAGAGAATATAATGCTAAACTAAATAAGTCAGAGAAAGATAAATACCATATGATTTCACTCATATATGGAATTTAAACAACAAATGAGCAAAGGGAGAAAACGGAGAGAGAGGCAAACTGAGAAACAGACTCAACTATAGAGAACAAACTAATGGTTACCAGAGGAAGGTAGGTGAGGGATGGGTTGAATAGGTGATGGGGATTAAGGAGTGCACTTATGACGAGCCCCAGGTGATGTATGGAATAGTGGAATCACTATACTGTACACCGGAAACTAATATCACACTGTATGTTAACTGGAATTTAAATTAAAACAAAACAAAAAAGAAATGTTGTTTTGCAATACTGAAACCTCCAAATCTTAGTGGATCAACCAGAATAAACATCACATTTCCTGACTTCCGATGCAGTTTGGTGTGGCCATGCGAATAAGTTCTGGACCACAGAAGGTGCTGCAAAGTGGTAAGTGCAACTTCCAAGATAGGTCTAAAAATGAGGAACATGCCCTTTTTCTGCTTTCCCACCATCCTGTCCTTGGAAAGTGGCCATGGTGGCAAGCCCCCTTCAGCCATGTGCATGGAGACACCAACCTAGAGGTGGCAATAAAGCAAATGATAGAAGGAGCCTGTGAGATTTCCATGAAGCAGACCTACCGTATAGGCCTTAGTCTACCTGATTTTGTCAGGGAGAAATACACTTCTGTTTTAGTCACTTTTAATTTGGGTCTCCAGTACATGTAACAGATCCCTTACTCCTTTTATATTTTATTATTGTGGTTTAAAAAAATACATAACTTCAAATTTACCATCTTAACCATTTTGAAGTGTACAGTTCAGTAGTGTTTAGTATATTCACACTGTTGTACAACAAGTCTCAAAAACTTTTAAATCTTGGGCGCCTGGGTGGCTCAGTTGGTTAAGCGACTGCCTTCGGCTCAGGTCATGATCCCAGGGTCCTGGGATCGAGTCCCACATCGGGCTCCCGGCTCGGCGGGAAGCCTGCTTCTCCCTCTCCCACTCCCCCTGCTTGTGTTCCTGCTCTCGCTGTCTCTGTCTCTGTCAAATAAATAAATAAATAAAAATCTTTAAAAAAAAAACAAAAAACTTTTAAATCTTTTAACACTGAAACCCTATACCCACTAAAAATTAATTTCACCTCACTCTTTCCCCCCAGCCCTTTGCAACCACCTTTCCACTTTCAGTTTCTGAGATTTGACTTCAGATATTTCATATGAGTATTTGTCCCTTTGTGACTGACTTATTTCACTTAGCATAATATCCTCAAGGTTCTTCCATTTTGTAGCATGTGACAAGATATCCTTTTTTAGGAGAACATAATCTGTGGCACCAGTGTGGCTCAGTCAGTTAAGCAGCTGCCTTCAGCTCAGGTCATGATCTCAGGGTCCTAGGATTGAGCCCTGTGTCAGGGTCTCTGCTCAGCAGGGAGTCTGCTTCTCCCTCTCCCTCTGTGCTCATGCTCTCTCACTCTCACTCTCTCTCAAATAAATAAATAAAATCTTTAAAAAATGTTTTAAAAAATGGAACATAATCTACTGCATGTATATATTACATTTTATTTATCCATTCAAATGTCAATGGACATTAGGGTTGCTCTGCCTCTTAACTATTCTGAATAATGTCAAATGAACATGTGTGTGCAAATATCTCTTCAAGATCCTGCTATGGAGGGGTGCCTGGGTGGCTCAGATGGTTAAGCGTCTGCCTTCGGCTCAGGTCATGATCCCAGGGTCCTAGGATCGAGTCCCGCATCAGGCTCCCTGCTAGGCCTCCCTCCTCTGCCTCTGCCTCTCTCTTTCTCTGACTCTCACAAATAAATAAATAAAACATTTAAAAAAAAAAAAAAGATCCTGCTATGGATTCCTTTGGACATATTCCTGGAAGTGGGATTGCTAGATCGAATGGTAATTCCATTTTTAATTTTTTAAGGAACCTCCATATTGTTTTCCATAATGGCTGCACCATTTTACATTCCCACAAACAGTGTACAAGAGTTCCAACTTCTCTACATCCTTTACAACACTTGTGGTTTTCTGGGTTTTTTGATAGTGGCATTCTGATGGGTATGAGGTGATATCTGCTGTGGTTTTGATTTGCATTTCCCTAATGATTAATGATGTTGAGCATTTTTTCATGTGTTTATGGGCCATTTGTAAATTTTATTTAGAGCAATGTCTATTCAAGTCTTTGCCCACTTTTTAATCCAGTTATTTAGGGTTTTTGTTGTGTCGTAGAAGTTCCTTTTATGTTTGGGATATTAACTCCTCATCAGATAGGCGATTTGAAATTACTTTCTTCCATTCTGTAAGTTCCTTTTTTACTGTCTATCATTTTCTTTGATCTATAAAAATTTCTAAGTTTGATATAGTCCCATTTGTCTTTTTTCAACTGATCCCTATACTAACTAGTCTAACCACTTAAAAAATAATAATAAACTGTAGCAGCAGTGATATAAAAAACAAAATGGGGGCTCCTGGGTGGCTCAGTCAGTTGAGCGTCTGCCTTTGGCTCGGGTCATGATCCCAGGGTTGTGGGATCAAGGCCCATGTCAGGCTCCCTGCTCAGTGGGGAGTCTGCTTCTCCTTCTCCCTCTGTCCCCAAACCTGTGTGTGCATGCACTCTTTCTCTCTCTCTCAAATAAATAAATAAAATCTTTTTTAAAAATGAGCTTACAGTAGAAAATGACCTGGTCTCTGAGGAAATTAAGATGCTGATTGTTTAAGATTGTTGGGTAGACAATAGAGAAAAAATAATTGTAACTATATATTATACAGAAGGATATTTTGTAAATAGTAAGAAAATTGGAAAAAAATGTATTATTTATCTGACTTTAGTATTTTCCATCCAGAAACAACATCTCCAACCCTTATTGTATAATATTATATTCATTATATAACCTATTCTTCACCCAGGTGAGTAGCTGTGAGTGTGCTAAAGGCTGCCAATGATGCTGGTTTCACATCCTTACTATAAACTACCCATTTATATGAAATGGAAATAAAACATGCAGAAATTCCCTTGGATCTGAGAGTAGGGTTTCCCCCAGCACAGTTAGGTTTGTGGTCAGTTTAGCAAAGTCAGCTAACAACACCAGCCAGTCAGAGTTTAGGAGGGAAATGGATTTCCCAAATAAATATGATTCCCAAGAGCATGTTCTCTAAAGAAATCTTCAGGCGTGAAATCCAATACAGGAGTGATTCAGTAGAACTCCATTCTACCACTATGAAGAAAGGTGGTGTTCCTCTTTTGTTGAGTATCATCTTCCTGACTCTGACTGGAGGTCAAGGTAAGGGGTTCTGAGTTATATTAGGTTAGTAAAGTCAGAAATGTGAATTGCTATAAAAGTCTCTTGATTTGCCCAACAAAGTTGATTGCATGCATCAGAAAGTGATAGGAGCCATTCATAAAAGCTTCTCAGTGATGT